GCTATAGTCTTCTTTGATTAATAGTTTACTATTTAATTAATTCAAATCTTGAGTTATATTAATTACTAGTGACTTCATTCAGATAATCTTTATAATTTCTTTGATTTATTTTATTCTTTTTTTATTTATTCACCATTTGTTAAAACAATATTTATAGATATTGGTATAGATCTTAGAAATCTTTGTTATTATTGAAAGTTATAGTCTAATTCCTCTCTCATTATCTTTAATTATTTCAGTCTCTCCTAACTCTATATTATTAAGGTAAATTAAAGTGAAACCCCACTTACCAATTCACCATAATAGTATATTAAAATTATTTGATAATATTATTAAAAATATTTTTTTAAAAAAATATCAAAAGTAATTATTTCTTTTTAAAAAAATCAAAACTTAAAAAACTTAAAAGAGATGTAAAGTTAAAAGAAAAATATTTATTTAGTATATTATTATAAATATTTAATTTTCTGATTAATAAAATATTATTATATTTAAAAAAGTTATTCTTTATAAATTTCAAGATATAGTAAGATATTATGATTTAATTAAGACAAATTCTCATTTATTTAGCAATGTATTAGAGATATAATTTTATAAAAATTATAATCTAAAGTTTATATATAAAAAAATTACTAGAAATTTCATAAATGTTTAACAAATATTAATATAAATTTCTAATTATAATAAAGAAATTTTTGATATTTATTTAAAAAAATTGATATATTATTCAATAAAAATAAAAAATTATAATATAATATTACATAGTTTATATTATTTAAATCTTTATTATAAATTTTAATGAATATTAATTATAATTAAAAATTGAATTTTCAAGTTAAAATATCAAAATTTATAGAAAATTAATTAGCAAAATCTGAAAATATTATTAATAATTTATTAGAACTTGAGAAATAGAATTTAATAAAAATAATAATATGTAATATTAAAAATAGAATATAATTTATTATTAGTAAATATTCTAATTTTATAATCTGATAATAATTTTATAATCATTTAAATATATAGTAATAATAATATTAAAATTAAAAATTTAAAAAATCTCACTTTTATTAATGATAAAGTTATTTATTATTATTTAAATTTATTTTAAGATTCTTATTCTGAATTTTAATTTTTACTAGAAACTTGATATATTAGTAAAAATATATATAATATATTTATTATTATATTTTTAAGCTATGAGATATTTTAATTTACTAGATATCAGAGTAAATTTTCAGAAAAACTAGAATAGATAGTTAATTATTTAGTTATATTCTTATGAGAAAATTACATCCAGAATTTTATATAATTTTTAAATAATTTTTTAGTAATACATTATAAATTAGTTTTCTATATAAATATATATAAAATTATTATATAGAATTTAAAATTCTATATATTTTCTAGATCTGAATAATATATAAATTTCAGAAAAATATTAACTTGTATTATATATATTCTATGTGTATTTTCAATATATTTTATGTATTTATCTTATATATTTCAGACTAATTCCATATAAAATTATGTATATTACATAAAATTCTGAATATTATATATAATTATAAAAATCACAAACATATTTTACATATATTATGTATATAATTTTATATTTTATATATAATTTTTAAATATAAATTATATATAATTTCCAGATATAATTATTTTTATATTTCTTAATATTTAATTATTTATATTATATATAACCAAATAACTATTCTACTTTATATCTTTACTGATCCTTTTTTTTGCTATGATTCTTTTGAATTTCATTAAATGCTTCAGATTATTCATAATTTCAGCTTCTAAAAATTTTTGTAAAGTTATTTTCTTGCTGAATTCTATTAGAAAATATTAAATTATTAGTGATTAATCAATTATAAAAAATAAAAATCTTATACTTACAAAGCAAATATCTATTATTAATCGAAAATTTAATATTTTTAAACAAATTATGTTAAAATTATTAGATAGAATAAATTTCTTCAAAACTAAAAGATTCAATCATTTCAGGTGCTCGATCGTGCCCATTTTCTACGGCTTTTTGATACCACTTCAATGCTAAATTGAGACTTTTCGAAACACCTATTCCATTTTGGTAGAATTTTCCAAGATTAAATTGAGCCTTATTGTATCCGGACTCTGCAGCTCTTAGGTACCAATTAAATGCTTCTTTATCATCTTTATTTGTTCCTTCTCCATATTCATAGCATTGCCCAAGTCGAAAATAGAAATGAGAACTACCATTTTTGGACGAGTTTAAAAGGTGTTTAAATAAAGTTTCTTCCATATCAATTGAAACTAAATTTCTTTGATAGCTATATCTTAATAAAAATTGGCTTCTTTCATCACCAGAATTAGCTAATGTTGAAAGCAACTCTAATACTTTACTTCCATCTTTTTTTATTCTAAACTCATCGTAAAATATCGCAAGATTATATTGCGCATAAAGGTGTCCTGATTCTGCTGCTTTCGAATAATACTCAAATGCTTTTTGTTCATCTTTGATTGTTCCTCTTCCAATTTCGTAACAGATCGCAAGATTATATTGCGCATCAAAGTGTCCAGAGTCTGCTGCTTTCAAGTACCACTCGAATGCTTTTTGTTCATCTTTGATTGTTCCTTCTCCATTTTCGTAACAGATCGCAAGATTATATTGCGCATTAAGGTGTTCTGACTCTGCAGCTTTCAAGTACCACTCGGTTGCTTTTTGTTCATCTTTGATTCTTCCTTTTCCATTTTTGTAACAGTTAGCAAGGTTATATTGCGCATCAAGATGTCCTGATTCTGCAGCTTTCAAGTACCACACGATTGCTTTTTGTTCATTTTTGATTGTTCCTTCTCCATTTTCGCAACAGATCGCAAGATTATATTGCGCATTGAGGTGTCCTGACTCTGCAGCTTTCAAGTACCACTCGAATGATTTTTGTTCATCTTTGATTGTTCCTTTTCCATTTTTGTAACAGTTCGCAAGATTATATTGCGCACCAAGGTCTCCTGACTCTGCTGCTTTCAAGTACCACTCGATTGCTTTTTGTTCATCTTTGATTGTTCCTTCTCCTTTATAATAACAAGTTGCAAGATTATATTGCGCATCAAGGTGTCCTGACTCTGCTGCTTTCAAGTACCACTCGATTGCTTTTTGTTCATCTTTGATTGTTCCTTCTCCATTTTCATAACAGATCACAAAATTATATTGCGCGTGACTCCGCTGCTTCCAAGTACCACTCGAATACATTTTGTTCATCACTTTGATAAATGTCGATTCGTTGTTGATTCATGGTATTATTTCAGCGTCTCTCACTGTCTTGAATGTAGAAGATAGAAATAGTCTGTTTTCCCATATTTTTCGTTTTTTGACCGTGTTGAGTACACATCGGTATTCGTGAAAATTTCCCCATTTGGCATCAACAATGTTATCGTTATACATGCACATGTTACATGTGTATCTTTGTGCGGATAACTAACATTAATGTTAGGTGAAACTCGTTATTCCCGAAGATGGATAATTAAACATACCAACTACATGTACATATATACATGTATCGGTACATGTATATAGGAATGATACTAATGTTAATGTAACGTCACTTAAAAGTAAAACAAGTTACATGTATTTAAGTTATTTAGCAATAAAATAAACTGAATTGTTGTCCCAACAAAATACACCTATCATGTAAAAAATCAAGATCTTTAATGTATCGAAGTTAGTATCCGTGTTTTTAATTTATTTTTTTATATATAAAATCATTTTTACATATAAGTTATTATCTTTATTGTGATATAAAAACAACAAAGATAGTAAAGAACTCATATATACATGTATAGAGAAATTTCGTATCTTACTATATATCGATATGAACAATCTGCTCTGCGCATTATGAACATGAACGTGTACATGTGTGCTACGCATTTTTCTTCTGCGGCGGCACAAATCAAAACGAGTAGCCAATTAAAAACTGGTTAATACAAATTGGGCGCTCCTCACACACAGCCATATAAAGTGCAACATTATCCGTTACCTCAGTATTACGAACAAAAGAATTCCTTATAAATAATATAATAGTAAAAACAATTAGAAAATAATCCGCCCCTTTCTTTTCAAATGTCGAACGTAGAAAGTGAAAATATTCTACAGGAAAACTCATCAACACCGTTTGTATTAATCTCTGACATAATATACAATATATTGCTGCATCTTGCTCCAAACACATACGACGTTCAATATCATCATGAAGGATTCAAGGATATATATCAGTGTCTGTTCATAAATCGTCAATGGTGCCATCAAACGATTCCATTTTTATGGCGTCAACCATTTAATCCGCCAAAAGGTGGCGATTGCCAACGACAACTTTGTATCTTAATGTCATTTCTTTCGCCGTCACTTGTTTCAAGCCTTCGTGATGAACACAATATTGATTTACAACAGTCATCTTCGTTATTATATAATGACGACTCGGGAAATAAGCCAATTTTTTATTATCCAGCATACATAAAGTATTTGAATTATGGTGATCTACTTAGAATAGTTGATAAATTCATTTTAACTACAGATGCGAAACTGTTGACAGCAAGACCTGCATTAATCGATGCATTATTACGTACATTCATTGAATATGGAGCAAAATTAAACTTTCTGGAATTCAAAGGCGGAAATAGTCTTTATCTCAGTAATTATTTGATTCTGACACAAGAAAAATTAATTCCGTTTTTCTCAGAGACTAAAAAACTTGAGTTATCCAGAGCTTCAAATAAGAACGAACTGATTCTTTATTTGTCTAGAGCATGCCAATATTTAACAACTATTTCAATCAAAATACAAGATGCCGATTACACAAGTAATTCAGACAGCGAAATTATCAAAAATACAGCAAAACTTGTTCGTGCTCAAAAAGGACTCCGGAAACTGACAATAGACTCGATCAACGGCAAAAGCATTAACGAAATACTTGACTCTTTATCTACACAAACTCGTACTCTTTCATATCTGAAATTTTATAATGTCGATTTTAGTGAAGCTATATCGTGGAATACAATCGCAGAGTGTGAAAATTTAGAAACTTTTATCTTACATTCTTGTCGAAATGTTTCAATGGGATTATGGAATCCATTAATTAAAAAAGATGTACTACCTCATTTAAAACTTGTTGCCGGGACAAGATTAATGTCATATAACAGCGACCCAGCACTTAGAGAGTGGTTGTGGCAGAGATCAAGACGACGTTTTTGAATTATAAAAGAATCGTATTTTGCAAGTTTCATTTGCATTTCAAACATAGTACAATTTATAAACTTAATAAACTTATCATAATTTGACATTTATAATTATGCGAAACAAATTAAAGAATTCTTTTCCTTGGCAAATACACCATCATACATTCAACAGTATTAACGTTAAATTATTGAAATCAAAATTTAGACGCTCGATTTTCGGTAATTCGATATATTTAAATTTTATCGGATATAAAAATATAATTTTAATTTGTCAAACGAACGATAATTATATCTCAATGCCAATAATTTTTTTTTAGTATTTCTGTCATTTTTAGAATGTAAATTTTCAGATATGCTTCGATACGATTTGGCGAAATATTCTATAGATACAATATTTGTGTTTGCTTTATCTATTGAAAAAAGTTATTTTATTTACTCAAATTTTCTATTAAAGAATAGACGAATTAAAATAAATCATATACGTTAATGGCATACAAATTATTGCAAATTCAAAAATGCTTTAGAAATTGAACGCCGACGAAGACGATGGTAAATATCAATCATGACATGTATTACCTATGCTGTACAGTATTTTAAAAATTTTAACTAAATAGATTCTCAATTGCACGTTATAATATAAATCAAGGTTATAAATTATAGCGTCAGACTATGTCATATAAAGTAAAGTGCGAAACAGATCTTTATTATGGAACTATTGAAATAAATGTTTAAATCCGAAAATTTCATCAGCTAAATACATGTACGCTTTAATTATTCTATGATGATGTATACCATCTAAAGTCATATTTTATTAAATGAATAAACTTCTTAACTAAGAAGTAAATTCAAAGTTTAATGCCTATTCTAAATTTACTTAGTTAAGAAGTTTATAAAATGTAAATTTATGTAATATACACCATATCGCCATTTTGAATGATTTATAATACGAAATGATAAATTTATGTATTATTAATAAATATCCCAATATGTTCCAGTTCAAAAGATTTATCGTTATACCTCAGATAAATACTAATAAATTATTTAAAATAAAATTTTAATTCTGTCCTATTTGCATGTACATAAAGACTAAAAAAATATTGCCTAAAAATATCGAATTATAAAAAGAATAATCTCAAAACAATAGTTAATTTTATTAAATGCGCATTATTATTGTTTTAGCTCAACAAAGATTCTGACGCCGGAAATAATAGACCGCATCAGTAAAGTATTAAAGATACGAATACAGCGACATATCAATCCGTTCAGCAAAATGAAAGTAAAAAACAACGACTCTACTTCTCAGAAAACCACAAATTAAGTACCTACACAAATAATTACTGCGAATAATTCACCAATTTCGCAGGGAAATCCAAATTCTGTAAACATCACCTCTATGAAATATTTTTGGCGAATTCCGCCACACTGTTAACTCTTTCATGAAAGTGGTTATCTCATTTATGACTTCATCTAAAGTAGTTGATCTATCAAATTTTTAAAAGCAATTTGATGAGCACAATAATTACGAATATATTTAGGTTTTACATATATTTTCCAAACAAAGTATGTCCAGTTTATTTAATGTTATAGTTGTTCATTAAACAGAATGTTAAAGCTATGGTGCAAAACTACTAAATTGATCAAATGCTTGTATTTTATAAATTGTATAAACTTATTAATTAAGAAGTAAATTCAAAATTTAATCTGTAAATATGATAGAATACGTCTTTCTTAATTATATTTATTGATTAAATTTTAAATTTACTATAATTAAGAAGTTTATACAATTTATAAAATACAAATATTTGATGACTTTAGATAGTATGCATCATACCTAATTGTTTTTATACTTTATAAAAGATTTTAAATTTACTATAAAGATAAAAGTTAGTTATTAAATATTTAAGAATTTAAAAAATATCTAGAAGTTAATTATTTACTATAATATTACTATATATAAACAAAATAAATTATTAAATATATAAAATAAATATAATAATAATTATTTATATCAATATTAAAATAAATATTATCAAAATCAAAATAATAGTTCTATATCTATAGAATTAGATTAAGCAAAAAGTTCTTATAAGAAAAATAATTAAAAAATAATAAACTTAAAGATATATATTATAATTATAAAAAGTTTAAATAATTTATAAAGAATTATTATTTCAAACTAAAGATTAAGATTTATAATATAAAAGATTCTCAAGAGGAATTATTATGCCAAAATAAAAGAATTAAATTTGCATAACTAGAAGATAATCATAAAAGATTATTCAAATTTAATAATCAAGTAAATAACAAATCAGTCTGGATATTGCTTGATAATGACATATCAAGAAACTTTGTTAATAAAAATTTTGTACAAAAGATTCAGAAAATTAATTTTGTAATTATTAAACTAGTTAATGGCAAGAAACTTATAGTCATTATTATGGCAAAGATTGATGAATTGAAATTATAAAGATATAACTTAATTCTTAATAAATCTTAGTTATTCCAATAATAAACTGGAGAACTAATATCATCATCTTACTTATGGATCTAAAGTTTAAGCAAATAATGAAGTAAAGTTAGAATTAAGTTGTAATTCTATTTACATCTCAAATATAATAAATTTTTATATTACAAAATTTTTTTCAGATGTTAATATAGATTATTTCATATAGCAGATTTTTCAGACTTTACAAAAATTTTAATAACTTTAATGCTGATTATATTATTTCAAATAGTATTTTTGCTATTTGCTATTGTTAAAAACAATTTAAATATTTATAACTAACTACCTTTAGTTGATCTAACTTGTATAAATAAAGTATATACGTATTATATATCAGAGGCAAATAAATAAAAAATGAAATCCTAAAAGTTAAATATGTTTATTAAATATATAACTTATTTTTTTGTATAATATTTATATTTAAAAGTTCTTTAGCAATCTTTTTTCCTATAATTCTTCAGATGAAATATTTTATTCTGTTCATAACAGCTTTAGGAGTTCTGTGATAAGTATAAAAAATCAAGAAATTTATGAAATACTTTCTTATGTAAATCCAGAAATACTATATGAAAAGCCATACACTAATCCTGTAGATATTTATAGCATTGTAATGGTTATGATGAGATTGTAACTGGCGAACAATCATTTTGTGATCAAAGTCATGATAAAGATCTAGTATTAGAAACCTATAGAAGAGTGCGACATAGAAAATAAACCAATTGTTAAAGAACTTTTCGACTTATTTATTCTATTTGGTATACCATACGGTAATGATTGAAACTTGAATACTTGCATTTTCAGGATTACAGTTCTTTAGAAACAGAAAATAAATTAAAGAATGTCTTAGGCAAAATTTATTAAAACTTGATAAGGAAACCATGTCGCAAAAAAGCGAAGGGGAAACGATGTCACAAAAAAAGCGTTCCTACAAAATAAGGATTTTCTGATAAAACCACAAAAAACTCTCGAATGCAGCTTATACCAATCGAAATCTTTACTTCAAAATTGATGTCAATTCCAACTGATAAAGGCACATAAATCTATTTTATATTTAATCAAAATGATATTTTAGATTGACTTAAATACATGTATACCAAATATTTAGGCTCTATAAATGTTAGTTCGTATATTCAAAATGAAGGTAAATTTACTATTTTATTTTTATCAAAATATTAAAAATACTCTTTTGGAATATGCCACTAAAGAATTTGATATAGATATCAATTCTGAAAGTGCCAATTTATATGTTTAAAATCGAAGCAAATGAAGATAAACTATTTTATTAGCATGATGAAAAACATTGAAAACTCATTAACAGAACAGTTATATTTATAATTGTTTTATTAATTTTGGCTTTCAATTTGCAAACTAAGTGATTGAATATATACAAGAAATCCTTTCATAACATTTGCAGTCAACCAAATATTGATGTTGGATTTTATAAAATATTAAGACTAAAATTATAAAGATAATAACTAATAATAATAAGAAAATAATACAAATAAATTTCTAATAACAATAAAATTTTGAAAGTACAAAGTAAGAATTTTAATAAAATTTTCTTTTTTTGAAGTAGCATATTATTGTTCTGGAATAAATTTACTTTTGTAAATTAATATTATTTGAGTTTGTTGAAGTTAATTTTGTTATCTGAATTAAAATTATATTTGTTAATAATTAATTGTTAGTTTAGAATTAAATATTATTTATATTTTATATATATCTTTTTTTTAACCAAATCAAAAAATCAATCACAAATTTTGTGTTCGTATAGAGGTCAAGGGTAAAATGTAAGCATAAGGCACAGTCACAAAATATCTTGTGATAGTGATTATATATAATCATGTGATTATAAAGAGGATTTCTAAAATTTGGGTGAGTATATGCCCCAATTTCGAATTCAAAACGTTTCTATCAATGTACCAAAGATCGATCTCAGGTGGACGAGAAATCGCCGCCGCGTCATAACCGCCACAATTATTCGACAATTTGAAGATTGACTCGATCGGTTTTGCCTACGTTAGACTGACGGTGACGGAAAAACAACACTCCCAAAATAGCAATAATCGCCGTACCCGCGCATGATCCAACAATTATGCCTACAAGTCCACCTATTGAGAGCTGAACGCCAGAAGACTGTCCCACTTCAGACGCGCTATTAGGAGATGTCGTCACGGTAATAGTTGGTGATGTTGTAACAGTAATATTTGGATTTGAGCTTGAATTAACATTAACATTTTTAGGTGATATTCTGTTGAAATTTAAAGAAAAATTAATTCTGGCCGCATGTCGAACAAATATTCATTAAATTCAAAATACTTTGATGTACCCCCAAAGATCCCATTTACTCGCAGCTGTACAATAAGTCTGATTAATGCTAGCGGAAGAATAATAGTCGGCAGCATCCATACACAAACCATTGTCAACATTCTATGTTTGTAATACGCGGTAATTAGATAAAATTTTATAGTTATATGGTTCAAGATTTGAATCCCCCTTACCTTTATGCTACATGAAGTGTGGTATAATGTCCAGTTCTGCGAATTTGTTTTGATATTACAGGTACCACAGTCAAAAGTGAATTGTTGAGCATTCGAATCAGTTCTTTAGGAAAAAGCGAAAAATTTAGCAAGATTGGTTATAGAATTCCAGTGCACAGAAAAAGAAAGAGAGAAGAATTACTAACCTATTTTGAAGTGTGAAAGTATTTGAATTTTGTGTTTGCCCAATAACTATGTTGCAATAAATCAAATGACAAATTTTTCTCAAAATAAATAAATTAAACACTCATTAGAAAGTAAATGGTTGCTAAATACCAAACTTTTGATTGAAATCAATATACGCGAAAATCTCAAAATTCCCAGGTGTCGGCTGTGCTATCGTGAAAATTTCGTTATTATCTGGCTGATCGCCGCTATTATAAATGATAAGCTGTACGCCTGCATTACTGTCAAAGTTTAAAATGCTCTTAATTGTTAAATTTGTTTATGTGACAAATATATCTTTCTATAATCCTTACGCAAGGCCGCCTCCTAGATTCGCTCGCCAATCCTTAGTGCTCGTTCCAGTTAAACTTATTGCGATATAATTTCCATTAAAATTATTGGGAGTACATGCAAAAACAGATGCAGTGAGGAAGCTCAGTAATAAAATGATTTTATGGTTGACTAGCATAATCTCATTTAATGTTCAATATATGAATAAAAAAAATGTTAGATTTTGACGAACGCAAAGATACACTTCGTTATATAATTTTTATGAGTTACACTATATTTGACACACATGTATAACATACATGTACACGTACATGTATCACTAATCTTGGTTAACAACAAAACCATTATCGTTGCATATCTATAATTTATAGAAATACATGTACACGTAATTGTTATTATTGGTTTGCAATAGAACGTTGAGTTCTAAAAAGAGTATATAGTATATATGTAGTTGGAAACTACTTTCTATTCTTTTTACAATTAGCTTACAGAATTACGATAATACGAATTTTAAATGTATTTAAATGCAAATATCAAATTATCAAAAAAAACACATCGCGACCAAAATGTCAATACTGCCTTATTCTGTAAGAGTTTGTCGGAAAAAATGATATATCAAGATTAAAGCTTTATTGCAACGGTAAAGAGTTCATCTCAGTCTGATTGTCATATATTAAAAGCTAATTCTCTAGAAAGCAAATTTCTGTAAATGCACTTGTTACTGTATATAGACTCAAAATTCCCGTTTTTGATTAGTACAGTCCCCGGCAAAAGTAATGGCATTTATTCCCTTTTTTTTTGAACTCTTCATAAATAATCTTAAAAAAATTTTACTCCCTGAATGTTTCTGAGGATGACATTCTACTATTGATACCAAATTGGATTGAAAGCAGGATGAAAATATTTTAATCTTTATTAAATATTATGCTTTCTTTTTTATTTTATAGTCAATATAAATATATTTTTTTTTCTTTATGTTGAACAACTTTTCTTAATAGATAAAAACTCATCAGTATAGTAAAATTTATAAACTATGTGGTAAAGTGGTATACGCAGTTTTTCTTGGCATGTGCAATAAAACACCGAAAAACCTGAAAATCAAGAATTGTTGCATGAGCTTAATGAAAATTCAGAATCCAAATGGGGAAATTTGAAATCCATTGCATGAATTTAACAACCCACCTTGTATTATAATTTACCGAATATGCATGGCAACCTTCGAACATATCCATTTTGGGTACTGATATACAGAAGCATCACATGTATTCTTTTGAACTTACCTTTTTTAGAAGAAAAAATTGTACCGTTACGTGTACTTCTGTAGAATAAATTCTAATTATAAATGCATGTAGGGTCACGGAAGTTCCCCGTTACGAGTAGTACATGTAAATATAAACAAGAAAATTAAGCCATCAAATACGAATAATATTCTACCACTGCATATATAATATCCGCAGCATTCGATAACGCCGAATTCGAATAGTATGGAAGGTCACTAGGTTATTACATGTACTTTCTTGCGCCGCAAACTTTTTATTGATGCATGAAAAAACATAAATTTTCCATCTCATCATTACGCCTTTTTTTGGATGCAATTAAATTTTTTTCATAAAAAAAACCACGCTTAAATTTTTCCACCAATTGAAAATACTAATAGTAAGATTTATCTTCACTTCTTATCTCTCCGTCACCGAAAATACTTGAGCACTGATATCATGGCAATGGTAATTACTGTATTGAGCATGTTCATCTTTCTGAACGATACGTGACTGAGTTGCATATTAAAATTCTTTGAATTGCTTTTTGTCGATACACGTTCAAAGAACAATCTAATGTGCAAAATTTTATTCGATTAATATTTGTGATAACTTCCATCAAAAATACCATCTTCGATATGAATATGCAGAGACGCGTGTATCCGGAAGAGTAGATACTTTAATTCACGAGGCTGTACAACTTGATGAATAATTGAATTTAACGAGTTTATATATAGGTACATATATAATAGACATTTATCGTAAATTCTGTGTAGCAAACATTTATTAGGTGTTATCAATAGTGAAGACTACGACTTTCAATATCATCAATAAGTCATCGTCTCAAAATCCTTCGCTGAATTGTATAAACAACAAAAACGATATACTATGAGACGATTCATAAAAATTTAATGTCCAATTTAGTAGCTATTTAAAGATTTTTTTCTTCTTATGCAAAGCTTTTGGATCGTTTTGCGTGATTCCTTTTGCCTGCTCGTTTTTGTAGTTGCGTACATTGTAAATACAATCACTATATTTATAGTTCAGTTAATTTTCTACATTCTCCATTATTATTTTCACTATGTTGAGTTGAAAATGTAATTAGAGGAATAAAATAAACTTTAATACTTTAGGTAGTTTGTTGTGCATCACTTTTTGACTTTTTTTTTGTAAAGTTGTTTTTTTTTAATGAGCAATTTAAAGGTTTGGTCTCTTTAATAATAAGAATCCTATCATTATTATTATATAGACCAAAAATATTTGCAGACGATAATTCGACGAAATTTTATATATTCAATCAAAAATTTATTTTTAATGAGTCTGTGAAAGAAAACAATTAATTGAGACAGCATATATTGTATATTGTTTAAATAAATTTAGTTAATATTTAATAAAAACATAGCCTTCTATGTGTGTGTGTATGCACAATTGACAAATCTATTTAGGTATGTATTTAAGTGAGTCGGAAATGAGCTGATTTGTGTTTTTATCACAAATTGATAATTCTAAAATATTCTATAGATTCCAATTATTTGGATAAATTTAAATAGTTGGTTCTAAAAAATAGTAGAACAAGATTGATGATATGGATAATCACCAGAATGATTGATTTGAAAGTGGGATGAATTTATTACATATTTGACAATTATAAAAAATGAAATCAGAGAACTGGGGGGCTACGTGTTTTTATTGGTATAAATTCTTCACTTAAAGGTGGCAAATTTGTTTCAATCTGTTTTCTCCTTAGTATAATTATTAGAAATTCTGTTGACTATGTACCTTATTAAATAACGAAAGGTTTATTTATATTGTTCCATATTAGGAGTTAAAAAATTTGGCATTTAGTATGTTCATCGGAGAAGCCTATCACGAGATTATAGATTGATAATATTTGAATATACATGTAATAAATGAATTCTGTTTCATTTTCAGGATAATATTTAATAAATTGTAATAGGATGATTCAAAAAACATTATATCGTATTTTCTCGAAATAACGCCCACCTGCGCTTTATTTCGAGACAAAGGGTCTATTTTCTGTTAAACCTGATTTTAGAAATAACGCCCATGTGTGTCGTGTGTGTTGCACATCTATGGACATCAATGATTATTATTAGCGTTTTTATTTTTTTATGCATTTTGTTTTGTTTTACATTTCGAGTCTGCAAATTTTTTGCTTTATTTGCAAGTAAACTTGAACACAAAACGAAGTTATTCTATCACGTTTAAACTTGAAGTCATTTCATACGGAGAAGCAACTTACAAAATCGACTGGAAATGGTTCGAGAATGACGAGAACAAAAAAGAGTTCGAGATTGTGCAATGGCCGAATTTATATTTAAAAAATTTATCAAGTTTATCATTGTTATGGGGGTGCGCGTTATTTCGGGACGCCATGGGCGTTATTTCGTGAAAATACGGTACATGTAATAATAAAACGAAATAGCGTGTGGTTACTGGCAATCCATAAATACGCTACAAAGGATAGAAATTTGGTGATTTCATATTTACATGTACGCTGATAAAGATAAAATTCACAAAATAGGTGATTCGTCATTTACAATGTGCGCACCATGTACACATTGTACATACATGTAAATCGATTAACCTTTTTCAATATAACGATAAAATACATACTTTTCGTCAAGCAACTTTTTATTTGACGATTGACGAAACTTATCGTTATCGTTATAATGATTATCGCATTACATGTACTGTAAATGTACACACTCGGTGGTCAAAAGTCCGCAATCGGGGCAATGATCGACGTAATTAAGGGGTAATTTCAAACGTCTATTGTGCGACAAAGAAAGGTTCAATTACGACGCACATTACTTCATTAGAAAGCTGAAATCTCAAGCTTTCAAATAAAATAAAAAAAACCGATGTCAAATCCAACCAATACTCGTCAAAATTACGAACTTACAGATTTTGAGCGCGATGAGATCATTGGCGCTTGGAAGTGTGATTTGTCTGAAAAAAAGATTGGAGATACTCTAGGACGACCCAAATCTACTGTTCATACTATTAATAAATACAAAGAGATTGGCCAAACTATATACGTTCTCACCGTGAAGCCTTGTAGCGACCTAGAAGTATAGAATAGAAAATTAGGTCGTGAAATAAAAATATATAAAAGAATGGCTCTTGCAAGATAGAAATACATATTCTTTGTATGATTTAAAGAAAAATAAATAAAATTAAACTATTTTTAACTCTTATCTAATATGACTTTAGATTTATTTCTTTTATGCCTTAACAAAATCAATAAATTCTTTTATGCTTAACAATTTAAGAGTTTATGGCTTTGATCATACAAAGCTGATGAATTATATCTGATTCTGTGTTCTATTTGATATTCTTTGAGCATCAAATATTCTTCTATTTGATTTTCATATTGAGATAGTTTTTTAGTTTATCCTGTTATTTTGAAATAAATCTATTTTTAAAGTTTGGAATAATTATAATTTAGAAATTAAATAGTTATTTTATAATTATAATCTTTTAGTAGTTTTACTAAATAAATTGAAAATTATTAGTTTATGTCTTATCTTTGCTATCTTTCCATAGCTTTTGCTATATTTGTTATTTAATAGTATTATTATAACTGCTTTCTTTAAATCTTTTTGCCTCTTTAATTGCATAGTCTTCATATAGATAGTATAGAAGATTATTAAAATAATGAAATTTATTTTATATAAATTATTTAATCTAGCTTTCACTACTTGTTACATTATAATTTCCTAGTTCAACTAATTTCTGAATTAAGTATAATAGTATTTTTGCAAAGATTAACATAGATAGAGTTTTAGTTGCTTTATAATAATATTATTATTTTATAATAAATAAAACTAAATTTGAAATCTCATTTTGTTTTCACTCTAACTTCTGAGAAATTGCTTTTGAATTATGCAATAGTTTC